TTCGTGACTGCTTGAACAACGAAGGACAGTTTCTTTCATACTAATAATATCGCATTGTATGTCAACTATGCTTCCTAATAAATAAAGAAAAGATTATCGTACAGTATTGCATTATAACTATGAACAACAAATGTTTGTGCCTAGCTTATTTACATAGCGAAGAAAAGTGTGCTGAGTTCATCCGCATAAACGACCTGTTCTGTTATGAATAAAACCTGCTACGTGTCCTCTACCTTCCAAAAAAAATTCAGCTCATTTGGTTGAAGATTCATGAAAATATTCAAATTTTTTTCTCCAACTCTAGTGAATTACTGGACACCCTATAAACAAAGCGAAATCATACGAAAACAAATTAGTTCTCGTATTCTGAACTAAGCAACAAATAAACGAATTCAACCAAGCCGTTTACATGGTAAATTCTCTTCGAAGGTTTAAACCTTGACAATAAAAGATACTCAATATATATATATCTGTAATTCTTTTAGTTAATGTGTTGAGAAATTCCATTATTTTAATAAAATAATGTTGTCTGTACTTTACACTGAACCCTTTTTGCTAAAAAAGGAAAAGTGTTACAGCATACAAAAAGAAGCTATATTTTGAATGATCGAACATTTGTGTCATCATAGTTAAACAGGCATATACACTGAAATTTCTGAAGAGAAGAAGGTTGAGCAGTTGAGAAGAAAAGGAATTCTCTCGAGGGGTACATTTTAAACTTCTGTCTAGCGACAAAGTATTTTATTACATAAGAAAGAATGAGATCTAACATTTCTTTACTCTTCTCTCTCTATACCCTTGATTATACTTACGAGGGAACGTTCCCAAGTGATTAAAAGCTTTTGAGCTCATATGTTGCCCATTAGGTAGGGAACCACTAGATTAGAGAAACCTCCAAAGGATTCGTGCCCATATTGAGATTTGACAGAAATATCGAATTTTTAGTGGATTTTTCCTGCTGGACCCTAGTTCTACAGCAAAATCATATTTTCGAATTTCGACCTGAAACTTTGCCCAAATGAAGGCCTCAATCAGAGTAGCTTGTATAAAAAATTTCAGAATTTTTGGACATTGCATCTCCAATGTATCAATCTTTCAAAGTATCCATGTTATATATAGAAAAGTGCCTATATTTTCAAAAATTGATACCTTGGAAATGCAATGTCCAAAAATTCTGAAATTTTTTATACAAGCTACTCTGATTGAGGCCTTCATTTGGGCAAAGTTTCAGGTCGAAATTCGAAAATATGATTTTGCTGTAGAACTAGGGTCCAGCAGGAAAAATCCACTAAAAATTCGATATCTCTGTCAAATCTCAATATGGGCACGAATCCTTTGGAGGTTTCTCTAATCTAGTGGTTCCCTACCTAATGGGCAACATATGAGCTCAAAAGCTTTTAATCACTTGGGAACGTTCCCTCGTTAGTAGAGAACTAAAACGAATAATGCGACTGATCTTTCTTCACCGAAAATGTTTCGTCTTACTCACTATTCGATTTGACACTTTCATTCGTTTGTGCCAGTTGACAATCAGGACGAATTCGAGTTCGATTTGAAATTTGTCTCAACGTTAACAGAATAAGTGAAACAATAACGGGTAAAATCAATTTAAGACCAATACTTAAACCACCATAAAGACCCAAGATATTGGCAAAAACAAAAAACCAATCGAATCTTTGTTCAATAGTAAAGGAACACGACAATGGAGCACATTTATCGAAATAATTATTATAAGAAACATTGTTTATCCAATCTTCTATCAAAAGTTCGTTCATCATTGTTCCAAAATCCCTATTCATAGGAAATCGACTTAAAATATTCCTGTCATTGAGAATACCATCGAATTTGTTGAAGATTCCTGCTTGAGCATATGCATCTTCCACAGAACTAAAACAAGAAGCATTATACCAACACTCGAGCGCTGAGCTGAGTACTGAATCTGTTAATAGACATCTGTTGAATAGATATCGATTTATATAAAAATTTCGTGAAGTATTGGAATTCGAGATGAATGCATAGGAGCCACATTGAGAACCAACACTCAAACATGAGCATACAAAACGGACTACTGCAGGAAAATTGGGACTTGGTATAGAGCTGAATTGTTCACTTGGTAACAGTATACCGTTAGGTTGTGATGACATTTGGAAACTTGAAAATGTTCGAGAAGCAAGCTGATCTGTTTGAATGATATTGCGAGTGAACTCGAAGATTCTAGCGAATCGAACAGTAGTCGACTCAGTGAATGTATCAGTCAAAATGACCATTTCTTTACTGAAGAATGAATCAGGTAAAACTTGACTGCTTATAAATATCTTAGATGAAAACAATCGATAAGCATCAGCAGTAAAGTTTTTGACTAAAGAACAAAATGCATCAAGTGCTCGAAAGTAATCTATACCGAGAGATATTTCAAATGTTCTTGCGTACCCAAGCCTTATATCATCAGCTATTTCTAAATTTCGATACCAATTCGGTGAAGTAATTTTACTTGAACATAGTTGATGAAAAACAGGCTCAATATGAATGAAATTCAAATGTGGAATAAATATTTGTGAGCATGGACACTCGAGATTGTGTGAATGAATCACCCATAGACGATTATAATCAGCTAGAGATGGATTTGATAAGGTAACGATCTTCATTTGATTTGATAATAACCAGTAAGAACTCAATATAAGAAGACTAATAGTAATACAGAAGATATAAACCCAAGATGTAATATGTTGTCGACGCACGATGTCATCATTTGCAAATGTAGTTTTGAATAAATTCAAATTATGAATTGTTGATCGGATAATAGTGATCAATTTCTGGTATTGATTAACGAGCGCTTGACCTAAATGAAAGTCGTAAAAGTATTGCTAATGAAATAGACCCATATATAATAAGAAATAATAACAAAATAAATATGTTAAATGCCAGGTAGCTATGCAGTTCTCGAACTAAAGAGTCTATCAATCAACTACTTCCATTGTTGACTAAGTACTCTCACTAATAGATTTAAGAGAATTCTCGATTCGCACTAATGGTTATACTAGAAACACTATCAGTTCTGAATGGCTCCTATTGAGTAGTTCAATCAACGAATTGATTGAAAAAAATACCAAGACACGCGTTTCCTCAAAACTTTCAATTTCAAAATTACTGTATGATCGATCAAAAAATCATATCTGAATTGATTTTCTTGAAACTTTCTTATGAAAAATTGTTTTAAAAATAGTAAATATATATTGGAATGCGAATTTAGAGAGTCAATTTCACTGTCTTACAGACATCCTTTCGTTATAGATTATAACCCTTGCATCAACATTCTATAATCGTCTCTAATGTTGCCAAATAAAATACAAAAGAAATTAATGGAGATCCCGAGGAAAGCTTTTGATATATTAATCATTTGATCTGGATAATATTAAATATATTATCAATTCTGTTCTTTTATTATTTATCACTTACGAGAAAATAAAAAGAAAATACGATTCGTTAATTGATAACTGTCATTATGTTCAATCGAATGCTGTCTTGTTTTCCACTTATATATCTTAATTATCAGCATGACCAAAACTGGAGATAAAAATCTTAGTATAATTGAGAATCCGCTATATGCACTAACCACCATTGTAATAACAAACAGTACATCAAACTGGCTAGTATGTGAATATGTGCAAAATGCAGGATTGCACTCAGTGTAGTAGTGTAAAAAGTTAATCTTTTTTGTTAATTTTTCAATCATAAGTTCACTTAGAAGTTGTCCTATAGTAGTTGTTTGTGTGAATCGACTCGAAGCATTAAGTGGTTGTACCCCTATTGGAATAATTGTTTCATTTTGGAGCAGAGATAAACATGAAGACTGATAAAAGCAGTCAAGTGATGAGGCAAGAACACCGTCTAGAAGTAAACAGTCGAATATCATACCAGTTATATTTGTTTCAATAGATTTTGTATTAAGATCGAAAATAGAAACTGGTCGAGGACATCCTCTCAAATTTGAACAAACACATCCATCTTCGAATATTTTAGCACGACTCTGAACACGTGCTGTATTTGGTGATGAAGCATAATAAACTGATTCCATGTGATAGTTGGTAGCTAAACTTGACATGAATCCATTCACTAATGTTGTTTCTCGACTAATGAATAGATTACGTTTAAGATTGGATACAACAGAAGTAACTGAGAAATTAAGTGACGCTTCAACGTTTGTCTCAATAAAAAATTGTGATTGAGTTACTGGAGTCAATAAGATTGTAGCATTGAAGTCAGTATAGGCATCGGTAAATGTCTCTTTTGTTAGATTGCAGAATGAACGAATGAATTGCCAGAAATTACTCATGATCGTTCGAACATCATTTGGTGGAATTATTGAAACATTGACATGATAAACTGAATCTATCCAATCTTGTGTAATGAACTTACTTTCACAAACTTCATGAAATTTAACATCAATATTAGTGAAATAACTATATTGTATTGCAACTTGAGAACATGGACATTTAAGTGTATTGGAAAATTTACCATAGAGCTTTTTGAATTCATTTTCAGATGGTCGAAAAGTTTTAATGATTTTAGTACGTGGTAAAGATCCTGCATAAATAACTACAATGATCAAGGAAACCAACAATAATACCAGATAAATCCATGTAGATCGCCTTTCCAATCGTATCATATCCACATCGTTTGAGTATGATTCAAACACGTTAAGCTGTTTTAGCCAATTAACAATTAATGAACGCCACCTAGGCCATAAAAGAATTGTTTCGGTCATTGTTTTTTTTCAATCAATCTTTGTGTATATATATATACAGGGTGTCCCAAAAGTCCGTTGGAAAAGTTAATTCAAATATCTCTTATACGACTCAAGCAATTTAATCGATTTTTTTATAGTATGTTAGTATGTTCTTTAAAGTTTTGTTCTGTATATTTTTGGATAAATGTCTGTGCCTATAACTATTAGAATTAGAATAGTTCTATTAATGCCCAAATTTGAGTTACCTATCATTGTGAAAGGAAAAATGCAAGTCGAATTTGACATAAAAACGCTACACATGGACTGTGCTATTGCCGCTTTTCAAGGCCTTTGCGAAATGAGTATAGTAGTAAACAGACAACAATTTGAAAGACCTTCAAAAACTACAAAAGAGAAAATCAGCAAAGTTTATGATAATTGTGAAAATGTGCCACTATCAAGTGTTCGGGTTGTTGCAACAGCCTACTTCATTCCATGGACAATATCAGGACGAATTATCACTGAATATCATCTAATGAATCCATATAGAGTGTAATTTCTCCTATCATGTCATAGAGAAGATTCATAAGATCGAGTTGAAATTATATCACTTTGATACGCAAATTACAAAATATCCACAATCAGAAGAGCTCTTTTTTTTCATACAAAGTCTCTTTTCATTTGAATGGTTTATTAACAAATATAAAGTAGAGACCTATATACATAAGATATATATATAAAGATTTGGTTGAATTCAAAATAAGAACCGATAACGAAACGAAATTAGCTCGAAAATAAACTTTCTGCAATTTTTTTTAGAGATTTCAAAAACGATGGATTTAGGTATTATACTTCATGGTAATCATTTTGAATATTTGTTGCAAACTAAATTATGTGAAATAAAACTTTAAAGAACATACTAACACATTATAAAAAAATCAATTAAATTGCTTGAGTTGTATAAGAGATATTTGAATTAACTTTTCCGACGGACTTTTGGGACACCCTGTATATCTGAAAAATAATAGCAGTTTGAAGAGAATAAGAATTAATATAAATTTATATGATGGAGTTAATTCCTATGTCTTTGCTGGTAATATGATGAGAACATTTTCAGCAGATTCCTTTACAGAACAGAAATTATTATTTAGAATGCCATCAAACTAAAAAATTAGAAAGCATACAAGATTCATGCACTATAAAAATCATTTTTTCATTATTGTCAAGTCTGCTACATCATTTCTTCGACAAAAAAGAAATCAAAGAAGTATGACCGTGACTTCGATGATATTAGTATTTTTCATTTATTTTATGAGTAAATCAAGGTATTTTTTTTCCTTGAATTTTTTTTAACACTCATTATCAACTAACAAATTCGCAATGATAGTAGAACCTGACAAATTTTCTTTTGTGATTGGTTTAAATTCGACTTGATCAGCATCTAATCGGTTTATTTCATTGATAATTACGATACAAAGCGATATTTAAGACTACCATCATTAGTTTCGAATTTTCTTTTTTTTGAATGCTAGATAAAAATGCATCTATATATCATATCGTACATACATGTTTTGGAGATTAAATAATCTTTCAAGTACATTTGACATATATTTTTCTCATAAATTATCGTAAAACTTATGTTAAACTAGCATGCGACTTTTCTTTTCGCTTAATACGTAATCACCAAAGACATGCCAACGATAGTTACCAATGAACTGAAGAATAAGTTGTAGATTACTGACGATTTTGATGGTAAATCATTTTATGAAATGTGCTACGAAGTCTATGACTAATTGTAAGAGGACATGGAAAGTGAAAATTATATTCATTTTGATAACAATCACACTAAGAAGTTGATCATACTCACCTGCGTCTGACATAGAAAATTTAAATAAAATGGAACTAATGCTTGAGCTTTGCAATACAAGGAAAAAAATTGATAAGCATTTATCAACGAATAAGATAATTTTATTTATTTCTGGAGAAAAAGAATGAATGATTACTATTAAATATAGAATTATTTCGAGATTTTGAGAAAATCTATGAAAGTTCTAGTGCATGCTAAAAGTACTTTTCACTTGTTGGATTAACAACAGTAAGTATGAATGAAAATAGTTTTTGCACTCAAATCTTGACATTTTAACGAGGAATACAACATAAAGAAAAAAAGCTGTAGTAGTTTTTAATCATACAAATTAAAGGTCGTTCATTACTTAATGAATAAAATTTTTCATTCTCAACATTTATCTTGATGAAAACTCTCTTCCACATTTTCCACAGATTAATATAAATGGGAAAATTTTTTCAATTTAAATTAAAACTTACATGTAAAAAAATTCAATTCTTTTTTCTTCATAACATACAACAATTTATATTTACTCTAACCTATTTTAATAGATCAAAGAAGTTTTACCCTAAAACAGATTTAAGTTGTTTCATTTTGAATGAGTAATAGTCATTGATTTATATTATTTATTTTTCAAACATCTTATATTCAATTTTATTTGTTTTTAGTGGAACATTCTTAAAAAAAAATGATTCTAATTCAATGTGTGGTGGCATAAATAGTATGAGTTAACGAAGACTGTATGATGCATAGGCGGCGGAGCCACGAGGCCTGGGTAGGCTCGAGCCTACCCTAGATTGGAGGAGGGTAGGCTTGGGTAGGCTCAGGTAAAGGCCTGGGTAGGCTCAGATAAAGGCTTGGGTAGGCTCGAACCAGTACAGATAAAGGCTTGACTAGGCTCGATTTAATGTAAAAATTTTCCAACATTAGTTAATTTTCATGTTCTTCTGACAGATGACGCGTTATTACAAGGTCAGTCCACATTTTATGTATTACAAACTCGTGCTCAGTGGCATACTGATTGATTTCGTTGACGTCTATATCTGCGTCGAACTCTTTATTTTCAATATAAGATAATTTAACTTTTGTTCTAAAATTCTATTCAAAATAACTTTTGAATTTCT